AAAGAACAGCCATCTTTGAGGCGTGAGCTGAGGCTCAAGAGTTTCCCTGGATCGATGTTTTTAAAGGCCCTGTCGGATTTTTCCACACTGCACGGGGATTGCTGGGATGGATGGGTCCAATTTTTCAGAGAGGGACTGAAAGAACCAGGCCGCTGGTATTAACGTGTCACTGTGGAAATGGCGCCATCGAGAACAGTCAATTTTTTTGGGGTTCGACATTTGTCCTGTACTGTGATCAGGACGATCACGTGACTGCGTATCTCTCCCCAGAGCAGACGATATCGAAAGCTATCTTCGACCAGCACGTCAGCCTCGTCTTTTCTTTCTCTTCATCCCGAACGTGGTTACGCCATCCCCATTTTCCGCTGTTTTGTCCTACCCAACTGCCCTCCCGCCTTGTAGCAGCTCTGATCTGCGTTCTCGTCTTCTTCTACCTCCCCGCCTTTTCTCAAGGAAACTCCCTCTTACCCTCTGATTCCGATCTGCGCTTTCGTCCTACGTTGTTCCAGTACTCGGCTTATAACCCCTGACCTGGTATCTTCTCTATTGTCTGGGCCACGGAAGTGCTGTCTGTCGTTTTCCCGCCTTGCCTCCCCTTGGTATCTGCAGCATTATGAGAACTCCCGGTGAGGAGTGAAGGTATGATGGAGAAGGCGGACCGATCTCGGAATAGAGGAATGAGGTATGTTTTCAGTGGTAGATTAGTATTTAAGACACAACGGAGTATCAGCCTGCAAGCGCAATTGCCCCTGAGGATGGCCATTTCGGGGAGGTGGCCGAAACATGTCGGGTTTTTTCGCCGACCTCTCTCCTTGTACTTTCATGAGTTTACTATTTTGAGCGAGGTTATCATTGCGCTATTCAAGTGGGCTCTGTGTCTTTCTCCTCCCTCTCCCTCTATCCATCTTCCCCCTTCTCTATCTCTCTCCGATATCGGATGAGAATAACGATTCCGGTTTGCCATTTTGAGCGCACTCTCACCTGAGCCTTGTGCTCGCAGATTGTGTGCATGCATTCGACCTTCCAGTCTTGCATTAGCGTGCTAACCACCGTGACAACCGCGGAGTGGTGGGGACGCCAGCGTTCGACCAGTTTGTGGATTGTGCTGAGATACGAGATCGATCTCGCACGAAACGCTTCGGTATCCATAGTGTATTAACCAGTTATTCCCCTTCGACTCTCTCTCTCTCTCTCTCTCTCTCTCTCTCTCTCTCTCTCTCTTTTGTCTCTCTTTCCCCTCCCTCCTTTTCCCAACTGTTTTCTTAGTCGCGCCTACGCAAAGTTTTTTTTCTTCCCCCTATTCAAATCTTAGCGCTAATCTTCCTCTCTTGTACACGAAAGAGCATAGAGCATTTTAGCAACCACGCGCAGTTGTAATAGTGTGGTTATAGTGGGTTTTGGAAAAGTTCGAAATGGCTGACGGTGGTTATGGAGGTCCTAACCGCAATTGCTACAATTGCGGGATGTATGGGCATTTCGCCCGCAGGTGTCCATATCCTCCGCGAAATAATGGATATGTCGGGTCTCCTCGAGCAGACGGTTATGTACCTCCTCGTACGGGCGGGAATGAAGTTCCAATTCAAGGGAGACCGATCCTTCCACCTCCTCCGCCTCAAGTACCGAATCAAGCAGCCGCAATTGTGGCACCTCCGGCGCCAATCCTACAAGCCCCGCCGATGCAGCCTCCAGCGAGTAACGCAATCGTACCGTACCAGCCCACGTCGGCGATTCAGTACCAACCGCCACGTGGAACAACTACGGCCAACGGAGGTAGAGGATGGACTAATAGACCGCGAGAGGGAAACGGCGAGGGTGAAGGGCTCATGATCCTGCGGGAGATATTGAATGAAAGGCGGGAAGATAGAGAAAGGAGGCGTGAAGAAGATGATCGGCATGCACGTGAGGAGCAGGCCAGACTCGCGCGAGAGGAAGAAGAGCGAAGATTGCAGCAAGAAGAAAACCGGGAAGCAGAGAGAGAGGCAAGGCTGACTCGCATTGTTCGAGAGCAGATGGAGGAACTCGAAGCTAAGAAGAAAGAAGACGCTTCCGGGACTAACAAGAGTAACCGTTACGGGGCAACTTGGGCAAGGTTGACCCACCATCGAAAGATGGTGAGAATGCGAAAGGAGGGGATATCGACAGCAAGAAAAGGAATCAAGGCACCATGGCGGGAGGATCAGAAAATCCTCCGCAACAAGAGGCAGGCAGACCCAGAGTAGAAACGGCAGCTACTCCTCTTGATGCCGGACTAATCCGAATGGACATCGATTCTTTGCGGAAGGCACAAGAGGCGCAGGTTGTGATGTTCCGTGAGATGTTCACCTGTTTACAGGCTATTCGCAAGCAAGGAGCCGGGAATGCGGCTGCGGCAGCCGCGGGTTATCCTACACACCCAACCATTCCTCCCACGGTGGCACCTGCTTTACATAGTGTTCAGAATCCTCCCCCTAATCCTCACCCACCTGTTCCACCTGCCTCACACCTTGTTCAGAATCCTCCTCCCCCTAATCCTCATCCACCTGCTCCACCGGTCCCACCTCCCCCTCCTCCCCCTAGCCCAGCTCCCGCTACTCCGTCTTCTCCTCCTCCCCCTCCACCTCCTCCCCCTCCCCCTCCTCCTTCGGACCACAGCCAACGCGTGGCAGCTACGGCTCCTGGAGTCCTGGTCCGGCCAGGACGCGTTCTGGGCGTATGGAAACACCTGCTAGTGGCGGTTTCTCCTCAAGACTACCCGGGATGTTCGCTTCAGTCGCACACAACTCCAGAAGGCGCTCTAACGGTCATGAGAGCAGCCACCATTGTAAACAGATAGCAGCGGGCGACCGTAGAAGGGAGCATCCCAAGGATTGAACTTGACCGTGATGATGACCTGATCGGGCGCGGGCGCGTCAGCGGGGACCAAGTGTCTCGCTGACACAGTACTAAGGTCTCTTTTGGGTGAAATAGACTGAGACAAAGGGGAATGGCTGACTTGACTCCTCTTATGCACATCTGCCTGGTAAGTAACTCGGACCTGAGAACGGTGATGGAGAGTGCAAGCTCGAGAAATCAAACGTCTGTCTGAGTATTAATGGAAAAAGCAAGTGACCGGGCCAGCCTGATCTCAGACACAATTCCGTTCGTTTATAACCACTGCTTCGTTCTTGCATCGAGTCCTTTCCCTTGCGAGTGAACAGTCATTGTTTGGGAAACTATCAACAAGCAGAGATAGTCTTATCCCGGTCGGACTGACTGGCCTTCGATCGAAATTCAGCACGCACCTCGTTGAAAAGCATCAATCTGTGTGAGAGAGAAGAGAGACTGCGCTTGCAGATAACGGGTGAAAGCAAGAGAGGGATAGAGCGAGAGAGTAAAACGGGGGAAGAGGGCTGGGGAAAGAAGCGAGACAGAGAGAGTGGTGAACGATCGACCTGACTTTCAACTTTATTTCTCGCAAATGCTGTGTGACGACCCTCACGTTGGCTTCGGTCTCCTGAGCCCTGCGTAGTGAATTTCCCTGGGACCCCGTCTAACCATAACCGAAAAACGAGCGTCAACCTAAGAGCTGACGAACAAGCGCACTGATGGCGCTCGTAGCCAGTGCGAGGGCTTGCTGCCCATGGGGGTAGCATCCACGCTGGTCAAGAAGTGTAATGAAGACGTGAGGGTGAGTCGATAGCTAGGGGAGGACAGAGAGGGAAAAGAAGCGGGGAGCTAAGTGAGGAAGAGTAAACGTGGACTGGGACGAAGGAGAGTCGAGTTGGGGAAGCATAGCGGGCAAACTTGTGTCAGTAACCTGTGGGGCGGGTACAAGCATGTAGCCTTCCCCCTGGTTCATATTCATTCACATTTGCAGAAACCCCAACCCCGCACTGATCTCCAGCGCAGAGGGCGCTAATCATAGGAAAAGGGAATTCTCGTGTGTGAACCGTCGGCTGGGTTGAGAATGTCGAAATCGCAGGGATCAGAACTCATGGTTGCATTCGCAAGGTCGCTGATAAAACAGTCGTTTCCGCGCGCCTGAAGAACTTGACATCTCCGTGGTCGAGAACCGTTAAAGCTCGTGCGAGAATACATAACTATACGGAGGGAGGAACAGAAGTGAGAGGAAGATGGGACCCAGAAGAACAGAAATGAAAGGGAGTTGGGACCGAGAGGAACATAAGTGAGAGGAAGCTGGGACCGAGGAGGGAAATCAACACAATCAGGGAACAGAGTGGGGAAAGCGTCTAGGGAGAAAATTGGGTGCATACGTTTCTACTTTTACTTGCGAATGTGATCGAGTTCGCTGTGTAAACAATCTACGTGTGGGCTGCACATCGACCAGGTGGCAATTAAGCTATCAAGGGCTGGAAGCAAAGTTATTACTAATAGTATTGCTGCAACCTTTCTCCCCCCTTTCGCCCACCGCTTTTGGGTCGAGTACAGTAAAGGAAATAGAGGTCTCTTCAAGGGGAGGGGGTCGGGAGATAATGTGAGAACGTCACGAGAAAGGAGGAGCAGGGTGTTAACGAGGGAGAGAGTTGGGAGGGTAAAATCCAGAAAGGTGGGGAAAGTGGAGTGGCCTATCTAAGGTTAACTGTAAACTCGCTGCTATGTGAACTTGTCGAGTCACCTGTTGACTGTGAAACCTCGCTGCTGTAAGAACTTGCTGAATTACCACTTAACTGTAAGACTTGCTGCTATGTGAATTTGTCTACCCACATGTTGACTGTGAAAGCTTGCTGCTGTAAGAATTTGCTGATTTACCAGTTAACTGTAAAACTTGCTGCTATGTGAATTTGTCTATCCACCTGTTGACTGTGAAAGCTCGCTGCTGTAAGAATTTGCTGATTTACCAGTTAACTGTACGACTTGCTGCTATGTGAACTTGTCTATTCACCTGTTGACTGTGAAAACTCACCACAAGGTGAACTTGCGGATTTACCAAAAAAAAAAAGAGAGAAAAACCGGGTGCGTGACAGTACACTCTAACCCCGATCCCTGCTGGTCGCTGAGGACCTCGGAAGCGGGAGCAGCGACTGACAGGCGCTATTGCCCGTGGCGTCAGCGAACAGTAGTGACCCCTCCCCGGGTTTCCTCACACCGGTCCGTATGGAGGGCCTCCAGGCCAATGGCCAAATTCTTTTTGAGCGTCCCAGGGCGTTTATTCACGCCCTGGGCCGTCCAAAAAAAATTGGCCGATATTTTTTTGGGCCTTTGGCCACCGTCTGGAAGGGTCAGAAAATATGTTGGCTCCTTTTTTTTTTTTTCTTTCAATCATAGGGGGGCAGTTCGCGCCGACTTCGCGGCCACCATTTTTCGAAGGCAGCAGTTCCTTCCCCGCACCATTTTTCGAAGGCATCTCCCCGTACTGGCGACGTGCAAGCATGGGGCAGCGTGAGGGGCAGCGTGAGGGGCAGCGCGTGGAGTAGCGAGCAGTTGCGCGACGCGTGGAGCAGCACGTGCAGCACGGTGAAGCAGCACGAGTGACTCTCTCTCTCTCTCTCTCTCTCTCTCTCTCTCTCTCTCTCTCTCTCTCTCTCTCTCTCTCTCTCTCTATCT